CGGGTGGATGCCATCAGGATCCAGAGATTTGTTAACTTTGTATTTTATGAAAATATCCTATAATGTTTTCTGTTGTCCCCCTCCATTTGCTTTAGTTGTTACAAGTCAGAGCAGACTTAGGCAAAGAGTTCATTATGCAATCTCCATATCCTCTTTGAGCATCCCCTTTTCCTTCTTTGTCATCTAATGATTAAATAGCTTTAATTTCTTGTTTATGGAAAACAGATCTCTCAGCAGTCATGCTAGCTGTAGCAACTTTTCATTGCAGTGTGCTGAATATTCAGTTCTCCATAAACAAGAACATATTTTACAGTCCATGAATTCCAAAAAATTAACAGAATTGTAGAGTCAAGTATTTTCTTTTTTCCTGATCTATGTCTCATGCTAGTCATTTTTGTAGAATGACCTAACTATTCCAGATTTGCAAAATGCATAATTGCATAAATTTTAAATTTCTGTTGCTTTTATCATCTGCTTAATTCCTTAAAACAAAAATATTGAAAATGTTTTAAACCTTTACTTGTACTGATTGATCTAATCTGCTCTCTTTCCAATTCTAAAAATCTTTTTAAAATTATATGGTTGTATTTTGTTTTGCTTTGATGTGATCATTACAAAATTTTGCATGTTTATTTTCAGTCCCTTTTCTAACAATCCATACCATAGGATTTGTTTTTTTATATTTTTGTCTACAGTTGAGCTCATTGTTATTAACCTATTCCTGGATTTCTTTTCTGGGTGGTAGGCATTAACATTTTCTTATTTTGCTTTTGATTCCAATATCCCCCCGTGCCTTAATTTGCCCTCCATTATAATATTCTAAGGACCAGCCCCAGATTTCACATGGTCAATAATTGTCTTTGTCTTCATAATCAGGGATTCATCCAGGAAACATCTTTATAATATACCTTTATAATATAGCAGAGAATTTCCTTCTGGCATGCTTTAAGGTGGCTATATATATATATATATATATATATATATGTATGTATGTATGTATGTATGTATGTATGTATGTATGTATGTATATGTATATGTATATGTATATGTATATGTATATGTATGTATAAGATGTAATATCCTGTAAATCAGAGATCTACGTTCTGGCTTCTACACAGTACTGTATAGTAATCTTGGATGACTTTTATACTCAGTGATTGTGGATTGTGGTTTGGTGTAGGTAAAGCTTTGGATTTTCACAGGTCTCTTACTTTAAACAACATAAAGTTTCATGCTCCTTTGTAAAGCACAATACAAATTTCCATAGGGAACTAGGACTAAAGGAGTAAGTCACACTCAATTCAGCAGGCTGCTGAAATAAACAGGGATAATGCATGTTACATCCCTTCTCAGAACTGTTGTTAGGAGGAAAGGAAACATCTGCTTGCATTAATTGTTCTTTTACTGGTTTCATTGTCTTCCTAGTGTCATTCATTCAATGGTGGGGATTTCATCATTGTGCAACTATTATAAACTATTCAATAAATATAAAGAGATTTCTCTTGGTCTTTGATACCACTACTTTTGTGCTTTAGAAAGTGAAAACATTGTTTCAGAATAGTAAAAAAATGTTCAATCAGAGCCGTGTGTGTGTGTGTGTGTGTGGGTGTGTGTGTGTGTGCGTGCATGATGTGTACACATTGGTGCACTGCGTACATGTGTATAATATACCTTTGCATCATTAGGTGAACAGACAGCTGCAAATAAGTCAAAGACAGCTAAAATCAGAGTATTAGAATTCATATGAAAAGAGAAGATATGAACCTAAAGTTTATTTGTATTTTTTCTTCCACAAAGAACAGATTATGGAAACAGTAACTACAGTGGAAATACAATATATAATTCCAGTCTGCTTATAAGATCTGGTTGTTGTAGGCCTAATGATTCCAGATGCAATTAGAATTATGGTTTGTTGCTTTGTTAATCAGATGTTTAGATGGATTTGATATTATTAGCAACCTAACAAGTCCTTCCCAAGAACCTGGGATAGACAAATGTTGTTGGATGTATTATCCAGGGATGTATGATGGTCCAAATAAAGCTGCCTTTTGCGATTGACTTGTGATGATTATGTCAATGCCAGTAATGTTCAAGTGCTATTCCAGATGTTTTGGGATGACACTCAAGGCACCTATTACTATTGCTACTGTCTTTGCTTTCTTTTGCCACAGTCATTCTACTTCTATTTTCGGGTCTTTGTATTTTTGTGATCCCCTCCCCAGTTATTTCTCTTCTATTCTGCTGTCTCCAGGTAGTGCCACATTCACTGTTCAGACTTTTCTGTCTTTCCTATCATTAAGTCTGGAGTACTATATTATGTAGCAGGTGCTTGTCTGTTTAAATTCTAAGGTCCCAGTCCTACTTTAGCTTCTTCATTTTCTATTACTTTATTTTGTGGTCCCACCATTCTTGCTTGCAGGCAAATGGCATTTCTTATAGCTCTTCCAATGCACCATTGTTATTACTTTGTCATGCCTTCCGTTTGTAGCCAGTCTGTGTAATCTTGCAGCAACTAACTGATCCTGCAGCAGCTAACTAGGTGGTCCACTCTTTCTTCAGCTTATTTGCAGAGGCGGCATTTGTTGTCTGTTGCTGTCTTCTCAATGCTGTCTTTGTGCACATTTGTTTTTAATGCTTGGCCTTGTGCAGCCAGAATTAGTCCCTCTGTTTCTTCAGCTTCCCTGTTCTTAGCCACTGCTGGGTCTTGTAATCTGATTTGCCTGCTACTTTTTAATGATACTAGTCATGTAATACTTTGCCTTGCATGTCTCTTTTTTCTATTCTTCACTAGGTCTAAATATTATTATTATTAGATTTTATATTGTGCTTTAGTGTACTATTCTGCACTGTCTGCAATGCTGTTCCTCTTATTCACAGTTTAGAATCCCTTGGGTTAAAGTAGTTTATGCATTTCATAAATAAAAATCTCCATGCTTAATATGTAGGCTTCAGAAGTTATCGTGCCTCGGTCCATGGTTTTAGCTTTTTATGTAGAAGGAAAGTTCTGAATAGATTTTAGTAATGTATTGCTGCTGCTATAAAAATTGGATAAAGATATTCTTTTATTTAGCAGTTCTGAGTGTGGATTATATGACTAATTAAAGCAAGTAAAGAATAGTTTATTAATACCTGATTAAGCTGAAAAATTGTTCTTAAAATATATTTTAGGCAGGTCTGTTTTATAGTCCATGTAAAAATTCCATGTAAAGTCCATATTGGGAAGAATTTTATTTGATTAGTTTATTATATTAATAATTCTTACTAAAGTGAACAAATGCATGAGTCATGATGCCCTGGATTTAACATGGTAGTTCAGAAGTCCAGGCTCTCCTAACTATGGAATGTTGTGTATTTGTACAAGTATAACTGTATTATGATTGTTTGCTGATAAAAATAGATGACAGTATTGTGAAGTGAAGACAATGACACATCTGAGTCTTGGAAGGCATGCTGAGAGTTGACTGTGTATGAATATGAAGTACACTGGGTGGGGTTTCTTTTGTGTTGAATCTTGGCAATGAAACTGTAGTCTAAAATAAGGCAAAGTAGCAGGTCTTATAAACTGCACAATGTACATTCAGCAAGGATTGTAAAAAAGCAATACTTCTTCTCCAGGTTCTAATGGACATAATCAGAAGAGTTTAGAATTAAAAATGTCTCTATGAGTATTAATCGAGCCACAGAAAAAAATGTAATTTATCACAAGCTGTTTTTCTCTCTCATGTAAAGCAAAAACAGGAGAAACATTTAATTTTGTTCCTTGTCAGTCCCATAACCTTGAATGAAATGCTTTTGTCCTCGATAAGAGTTACTGCTAACAGGTGGAACAAATCTGGATAACAGTAGGGAATCTGGAACCCCAGGGCTGCATGCTTACATTAACCTAAACCACTTTCCCTAATCTAAGTATCCTTTTAAAGTATAGATTTCAGATCCCAATACTGGCTACTCTCGTTCAAGAACTCTGCATCCATAGAGTACATATAAACCATGCCCAAATTTTTAACTGCTGGAATGATTTCATATTGTGAATTCCACCCATGTTTAACTGAAACCTTTTTTTTTTCTGGTATCACTCAGAGCAGGACTGTAGAACCAGACACATTTTGGCTTAAATAGTATGATTTCACCTCATTAAGTAATCTCCTTTTATTGCAAAATGAAGTGTTGATGTACACTGATTCATAATTTGATGCTTGATGCTTGAATGGATGCACAAATGATGACAGCACCTAAATTACCTATCTGATCTCACACAGGTGGGAATGTACTAGGACATTTCAAAAGAATAAGCTAGATTGTGAAATAGAAAACCATTCTGGAAGAAGGCAATGGAATTCTAATGCCTATTGGGTATCTCCATGGAGTAATCAGAACATTTATCTTATAAAACTTTTTATTTTACTTAGTTGGGTTGATAAACTGGCTTTATTGCAAAACATAGTGAAAACTTTGCGTTTGGAATTAACCTTGTATTATAATATCACATACATATGTGTTTCCTTCAAAGTTAGATTTTTTGATAATAAATACCTATAAAGCAAAAGTTTATCAAATAATAGACACTGAACTGTTTGTTTTCTGTAGAAAAGATTGCTTTCCTTTTCCAAAACAGTACCGATATTTGGCTGGTTTTGGACACAGCCCATTTCACTTTATTAAAAATGTTTCTTCAATTTGGGCATAATAGTCTGTGCCAATTTGAAAATAGTGGTGAATATCTGTAGCTCAGGTGTCGGATGAGGATGAAGGCTCATTTTCCAAGCTTTTGTGTTGGTTTCCAAACGTTTCGTTACCAGGCTAGATAACATCTCCAGCTGAGTTCAGGAGACTCTGCTGAAGATGTTACCTAGCCTGATAATGAAACGTTCAGAAACCAACCCTCAAGCTCGGAGAACAAACACTTCACCCTCAGCAATTAATTTGTGAACGTTGTAACATGCGTGCAGCCACCATATCTTTTTTCCAGCTAACTTTCTGTTGTTCATTTTGCATTGCAGAGTAAAGAAGTTGGACAGCAACTCCAAGAAGACCTGATGAAAGTCCTGAATGAGCTCTACACGGTAAATCCATTTGGCTCCCCCCCCCTCTTTTTAGAAAGTAACAACATATTAAAAAGTTTGACTTTCCTCTGTGTGTTACAAAAATGGCAATAAAGCACCAGAAATTATTTTCTTCTATTGTTTCATTTTAATTCTCTGGTTTCATCCCTGTTGCCTTTGCTGCTGGTGTGGGATTACTTTCTACATTGAGTGAACATTGGTGAGTGTTTAGTTAAATCATTGGGCTCTTAATTGAAAGATAGTATCAGCTTTGAAGTCAGTTTTGGCTGCAAATGGACCAAACACAATGGTTTCTTTCATCACAAATGTAGGAATGCATGAGGCACAAGCTTTTGTCCTGCAATACACATGCAATAATTATTTGCATTAGATGCTTGTATAACTTTTTTTTAATTTGGCTTTTTAGAATCTGACTGGCACAAAAGGAGGCATGTGCTCATAAAAATTCTGGGCATCTCTTCTTTCATGCTTGAATTGGAAATGTTTAATATTTATTAAACCTGTTTCAGGTTTACTGAAACTTCGCAACTTAGAGCAAATTACTTCTATTTTTAAATTTAGGCTCTTTGAATGTTTTCTTTGAGGCATTTCCCCAAACAGCAGACAGTTTTTGGATTTTGTTTGGTCAGCTAGGGTGATTGCATTGGCAAATATTTTTCTCCACACCCAGTTGCCACATGAAAAGATGTTTCACAGAAACTCTTGAGGCAAAAGCAATGAGACCCTGCCATGAAGTAGAACTAGTAATCATGATGGTCTAGATACAGGCTGATGTTGCAATTTTGTCTAATTTATATGAATCAGCAAATCACACAGGGATAAAGGTTATACCTTATTATAGGCAAATGTTGGGAACTGCCTTTTGACAGCTGCAAACCTAAAACCTTTATGTGGTGTTTATTATTATTATTATTAAACTGAATTCCAGCTGCAGATGTTCATCATTTTGAACATACAACTGGTATGGTGACATTCTAGAAGTGCTCTAAAAATGAATAGAGGGTGTGCCTTGTTTGTGGCTTTTAACCTTGCTTTTTAGAAAAAAGGAATAGTTAACCCTAATAAAGCCACTAGAACAAGGGTGTCAGACTCGCAACATTACGTGATGTGTCGCAACATATCATGACTTTTTTTCCATTGTTGGCAATGGGGTGGGCACAGTTTCACCATGATGCATCCGGCCTGCAGGCCGGCAGTTTGACACCCCTGGACTAGAGAAGTCCTATTGGTAGGATTTTATACTGATTTGTAACAAATTCATTGAAGAAATGTAATTGCTAGGGTCCAATGTAATGTGACTGCTAAGAATTTTAAGTATTGATTTGTTTTTTCCCTTTATGAATGTACATAGATACATACATATCACCTGGCAATTTTGACTGTGAGATACTTTTACATGAGAATGAGTAATACTAATGAACTTTTGGGGAAAAACTATGAACGTTATTGAAAATAATGGTAAACTGGGGCAGGGGATTGACAAATTTTAATGGTGTATCCAGAGCAGAGATAACTTTATATAAAGAAGCCACGCTGAGTACATTTGGAAGGATGGGAGAAAGAAACCATGAGTTAAATCTCTGAAGATATAGAAGTCAATTATATTTTTCAATGGATGGTCAGAAATTTGTACTTTCTATTAATATAGCATTATAATAAAGTAGAATTAATTCACTATTAGTTCATGTTTCCTGTCAGGTTTACCTGGGAAGACTGATATCAGTCTTACAAGAGTGAAAGTACAAACTTCCCACTATCACCTTTAACTGCTTAATCCATCAGGGCAGGTCCTTCCTAAGTTTCTTTCTCTGACCACTAAGCCCCTGGATTTATGCCTCTGTTGCCTGATTGTTTCCTAGACAGCATCTCTCCACCTCTTCCCATAAAGTCATCCACACATTTCATTACAAATGATCTTTAAAAAGAAATCTAGATTTGTACGGTGAAAGAATAATAACCCTTTACCAAATAGAAAGCTTTACTTTTGAGAATAGGAAGATTAATTCCAAAACGAATTGAAACAATGAAGGAGGTATGGCACAGATTTATTAATCTGGATAATTCTTTCTTTATTGATTGATTAACTATGTATGCTCACCTACCTTACGCAGCATAACTCTGATCAACAACATACAGGTAGTCCTTGCTTAATGACCATTCATTCGTTTCACACAATCAAATTACTGTTACATTCCTATTGCAAAACTACATGTGCTGGGCTCAACTCTCAGTTTTGCGTTGTACCTGCAAGAAGGGCTGAGTGTTAGCCACATTCTGGAAGGCAGTAACATTTGCAGTATCCTTATTTATCTATTTAAATTTTAACAGCAAATTAAATATCCTAGCATAGAATTCATATTTCTATGAATAGAATTCCTAGAATTTATATTCTGCAATTAATGTAGAAATTACATTAATTTGCTTTTACTAATTTATCTTGAATTCCATCAGTTTCTTTCTTAAGCAGTTTCTCTAAGTCAGCAATCTGTTGCTAGATTATACCTCACAGCATCAATTAGCAATGATTATGCTGATTTGGGTTGGAAATTAAGATTCAGTAAGATCTACATTGCTCATCCTTGAGGATGACAACAAGAAAACATGGAATAGGCAGAATGTATATCTCATTCTACCAGTGAATCTCTGGCTTATTTACAGGAGATGAGCAAGGATTTCTGACTATCACTTTTAATCTGCCAGAAAAGCAAAATGAGATTCACTCATCCACACAATGGACATCCGCATGTCCTAAATCAGATCTGAGCAACTTTTCAAGGACAAAGACTGTTTTTTGGATTTTTAGGAGTTGGGGATGACACATTGAACAGACAGTGTTTTTCCCCCCTCTAATTAAGAAGCATATTAAACTATGTTGCATAAGCAGTTTTTTTTTTAGCGTTAGTTGGCAAGCAAACTAATTGCACTGCATTACTCCATGAATTTTCAAACATTGTTTGATTAGCAATTTTAAACAGCCAAGGAATAGTTTTTTCCTGTATTGAAGACAGCAAAAAACAAATCTAAGCCTGCATATTTTAGGATCATGAGGTGAATTTGATTTATGTGTTTCCTGCTCTATTTCTAAGTCTACCTATTTCCTAAATTAAGAGTTAAGGAAGAGATTACAGAGTTCTGTGTCAATTTTCTCTCAGTCAAGTTAGCAGCTGGCTTTTCTCTATGTTGTAACATCTTGGATTGTCATCCCTTCAATTCCATTGAAGGTCATTTGTGTTGAGTAGATTTTCTCCCATTCAGACTCCCAGTCTTCAGTTGATTTTTTTATTGATAAACGTTTTTCTGAAATATAAAGAATTACGTGTTTCCTCTTTCAGAGTTTTGTGTTATCACTCTCAATTATACATCAAAGGCATCTATGTTCAAAGCAGAAAGAAGACTGAAATCTGTTACTCTTATATATGGGAAGATTATACAAAGTAATTTTTAGTTCTTAAGAAGTTTCTTTACACTCAGGAGTCCATTAAGCTTTGTTGATTAAGACTGCGAGGGCAATAATGATCTTAGTTTTTCTTGGTAGTTGAAGGCTGCATCTATTAAATAATTTGCATCTTCTTCTCTTCTGGCTTAACTTCTTTCTGACACCAAAGATATAATCTAATTCAGAAAATCCTTGGTAACATTCCACTGCATTGATGCAGTGGAAATTTACCTTTCCATTTGACTTAGGAGAAATCACTATAATTATATTCACTGAATTCACCGTATGAAAGTTCAACAAAACTTAATTCTAGCATGTTTTGCATTTCTTTCTTCAGTGTATCTCTAATTCTCTAGAACAGTGTCCCCCAATCTTTTGGACACCAGGGACCGGTTCTGTGGAGAGAGGTTTTTCCATGAATTGGAGGTGGCGTGGTTTCACATGCTTCCTGCATCTCGCGGATGGGGCTTCTCTTGTTTGCGTGGCCTGGTTTCTGGCATGTTGTGGACCAGTCCGAGTCCATGGACTGGGGTTTGGGGACCCCTGTTCTAGAATAGATGTTTCTGCTTTATTGTGTTTGCATCTCTGGTAGCATGTTTGTGTTGTACTAATGCAGCCTGGGTTGATTGTAAATACTTACTTGACATATTCTAACAGTGGTTCTAAGTTTGCTTTTTGTTACAAAGATAAGATATGTGTCTCTTCATACTTTCTGTGCATCTGGCACATAACTATCAATTTGTTTTGCTAGATCTTTTAATCTATATATTCCTAATGAAGCAACATACTTTCTTAAAATTTTACGACTAGATGGTTTTTCCATTTCAAATCTACTTTGTGATTTATGTACTCCATTTTTGATCATCATAAGTGAGCTTTGCCACCTACAGTAGCTTAAATGTGTATTCTTGAGTAGGCAACGAAAAGCAACACTTTTTCTTCTACCTCTTGAGAGCCTTATATGATATCAGTCTTATTGTGCAGTTATTCCTGAAATATGCCATTGAATTTTTTGCCCTTTTGTGTGTGTGTGAGAGAGAGATAACATAATCAGAATCTTTGGTCCTGGAAGTTCATTTGATCCAGGACTCCTCTTGGTTTTTTCCGTGTAGGAAATCAAAAGGACTGAATCCCCTAAATGCCTATGGCACTTCTCTATAGGCAAATAATATATAGGGAAGTAAAGGCAATTTGGTGTAGTTGTTAAGGCATTAGGCTTGAAACCAGGAAACTGTTTAGTCACAAAACTAAGTGAGTGATCTTGGGCCAGTCGCTTTTTGTCAGTCCTAGAAAGGAGACAATGGCAAGCCACTTATGAAAACTTGCCAAAAAAGGACTTGTCCAGGCAGTCTCTGAAAATCAGACAATGACTGAACAGAAGAAGAAAAAATAGAAGGAAGTAGTCCATTCCAAAACGTTGGTATCATTTTTGTGCATTCTTGTTTAACATTTTGAAGAGTTTCCTTCAGGTAATCCTTCTATCTGAGTGTCATACTGAGAAGGTCTTACGTCCAGTATCTCCAAATCTGTGTACAAATTCTGAGTAGTTATTTTCTTAAAATATCAACAAAGTGAAGTTCCTCCATGAATCCTGGTTTTACATCAGACCTGAACAACTTTTCGAGGACAAAGTCTGAAGTATAGTATTGCAAAATAGGCAGGGCTGTATCATGGTCAGAGGCAAGTTTTTCTGTTGAGGCAATTGATCAACAGTGTTAAGTATAGGATAATCAAGAGTGGGCTTTTAAAAAAAAAATATGAGTTTTATTTTCTTTATTCAGTTGGGCTACTCAAGACAAACTCCTTTGCTCGTTCCTATAGGAAGGTGTGAGAGTTCTAATTAAAAGAGAGGGGGAGAAAGACAAGGCAGGACTGGCAAAATAGATGCTCATCTAGTATCTTAATATAATCCCTTGATGGGAATAGCGTGTGGTATTCATAATACTTAGACTCCCGGACTGAATCCTTATGTAATTGCTTTGACCCTGGACCTTGATGTCAGTCTTGGCAGAAAATATGGATCGACCATGTTGACACATCCTTAAATATATGAAACCATTAAAACTGGGACTTACATAATTTTGATGCCTTGTGCCAGATGTCTTTCACTAGAAGTAATGGGAATAGGGGTACATGGAAAGAATACTTCTTCCTCTTTAAGGCAATTCCAAATGTCACCTTTAATTCTGTTCATTGATAATAATTCAGAGTTACCGTATAGATAAATTATGCTTCCTTTAATACTGAGTGGGTTAGCATTTTTAACTGTTACTTTTTCCTGTAACTAAGGAGTGTTGATTTAATTGCTCCAGAAGGAGTAACGAAATGAGAACATATATTCCACCTAACAAAAATTACGGTCAAGTTCAAATTGAGGTGAAAGAAGACTCAGGGGCTTGGTGCTTGCAAACTGGAAGGATTTGAGGCCAGAGTTGGCTTGCAGCAGGATTTTAAAATTGGAACATAGATCTCTTCTCTGTTTGAGCACACATTTACAAAGCAGTTATTATTAATATTTCATGAAGGTCTATGATGTAATTGGAAGGGTGCATCTTTTGCATCTTTTCAAGTCAGTTTGTAAATTTTATAATGTAAGCTACCTTGATCAGAATCTGTGGGAAAGAGAGGATATAACTGATTTTCAGTAAATAAATCTCTATTGTCTGTCTGTCTATCTATCTATCTATCTATCTATCTATCTATCTATCTATCTATCTATCTATCTATCTATCTAAGTTTTAAACATGTCTAGATGATGTGTTAATTAACCAGATCCTGAAGTTGAAACTCAAATACTTTGGCCACCTAATGAGAAGGAAGGACTCACTGGAGAAGGGCCTAATGCTGGGAAAGATTGAGGGCAATAGAAGAATGGGACGACAGAGAATGAGATGGCTAGATGGAGTCACTGAAGCAGTAGGTGTAAACTTAAATGGACTCCAGAAGATGATAGAGGACAGGAAGACCTGGAGGAATGTTGTCCATGGGGTCGCGATGGGTCAGACACGACTTCGCAATTAACAACAACAAAACTTTTGATATTTGATCTTTGCCAAGTTCAAAAGGTTATCAGGAGGGCCAAAATGCAAAGAAGGACAGGAATCAAAATATGTGGTTCAACTATTAGAGCTCACTTATTTGTAACAAATGCCAGTGAGAAAGGGAAAAGTCAGTATTGATCCAAAACAATGGAGGGACTGTAGAGAAACAAAAAGAAAGGCTGATTGTTAGCAGAGTCAGCCTCTGCTGTCTATGTTGCCTTTTGTATTGCTGAGCAGGATTAGCACTGATAGGGCATGGACTGCCATGCGGTCAGTTAAAAAGTGGTCTCTCTTCTAGTAATTGCTTTTTAAAGTAAAGATATCAACTTCCTGGGGAAAACAAAGGAATACTATTTAATGACCTTTTTCTCCTTGTCCTTATCCCCATATTGTCACATTCCAGTTGGAACAAGAATTATTCTTGTACTTCTTTCTTATCTGTTCATCTCTCTTTCCTATTTTCATCTGGCCTTTTATAGCCTTGTGCTAATAGGGTGTTTCACTTCATGCAGTAGACGTTAAAATCATTGGAGCTTTGTTGTATGGACTACAATAGAGATTTGCACTATGCATAATGACCCACATCTACTGATATTCAAACAAATATCAGAAACGTTCCTAAAAAATTTGGACATAATGTATTGATGGAACAGTAGGAAATACATGGCTGAAGGGACTGAAATTTACATTATGTTATACTTTAAAAGAGAATTTTATAAAGAGGTACAGGCTCCAGAAAAATTATTTAGAATGTATAAAGGTATTTTCAATTTATGTTGGAAATGCGAAAAACATGAAGGGTCATTTTATTGTGACAAAAAAAATTGGGGTTCAAATAAAGTTAAAAATAAAGAATTTTAAAGATTAATATTCATTTGAAAGCAGAAATTTTCTTTTTATAACTAATGGATAAACAGTTAGAAAAGCATTGTGGAAAGCTATTTTATATGTTATAATTGCTGGAAGATTATTTCATGCACAAAAATGGGAAGAATCTGAAATAACCACAATGGAGGAACAACTGCTGAAGATGATGCAATTAGCAAAGATGCAAAATTGACTTGTCTGACTAGAGAAAGAACAAAACCCATATTTATTAGTGACTAGAAACCCCTTATGGACTTTTTGCTAACAAATGAAAAAATGAACTTGTGATTTATGAGTTTGATGATTTAAAAAGATAGATTAGGAAAAGAAGATTATACTGTAACCCTAGAAAGAGAGGGTAAAATATAAATGTACTTCTGTTTCCAGTATCAAAAGCTGCTTCTTTATAACTTTTATTTTCTTTCCTTTTCTTCTCTATTTCTTTGCACTTTTTCACTTATTACTTCAGGTTTTTTTCAAAATTGTTATTTTTCTTTAAAACTTTTCTTTAATAAAAATTATATGTTAATAAGAAAGAAAAATCCCAGCAAACCTTGACAAGCAGAGTTAGGATAAAGTAGTGGAGGCCCTGGGTTAGCCATCAGAATCACATGAGAGTTTTAAAATGTTCCATACCTTTGCTGATCCTTTTGAGTTCTATAGGTAAATCTTATGACCATTCTTTCAGCAACCATTCAAAGTTACAATTGTGCTGAACGAGTATTGGTTATGACTGATCCTTGAGAGTTCAGGCCATCCCATAACCCCCATGGTCACATGACCATGATCTGGTGCTTAGCAACTAGTTTGCACTTAAGACCAGTTGCAGCACTCCGTGATCAGATTAACTGGGATAAGTCGTCCCCATCCACATACCCTCCCTTAGCCCCTCTCTTAGCCACAACTAATTGTGCCCCCTCCTGAGCCTCATCGTTCCTCCCTTGCGCACCTTCACTGACCCTTGCTGCACCGGTTACATACCTTTCCTGACCCTAACCACACCTTCCTTGCTCCCTTTTTCACCCCCTTGCATCTTCATTGCATCCTCATGGACCCACCTTAACCCTTGCTATGGCTCTTTTGTACTCTTGCACACTCTCCACGAGTCATGTCACGCCTCCTTTCTACTTTTCCCAAGCCTTACCACACCTTCCTCACACCTTTGTATACCCCCTCGTGCCTTCCCCCACCCTGCAGTAGCCATTTAACCTGCCTGCCAGCCTGCTTGTAAGTCACCTGGGACTTACAACATCCTGCCAGCTTCCCCACTGACTTGATTGTGAGAACTGGCAAGAAGTTGCCTTGCCTAACAACAATGGGATTTGATTAAGCATGGCAATTGGGACTGCAGAGATTTCTGTTGCTAAGCAATGCGGTCACACTTTTACATCTGCATCATTTAGAAGTGGAAATTCTGGTTCCAGTTGCCACCATAAGTTAGGGACTGCCTGTATAGTAGGTGCATAGAATAGTTATAGGTATTTTTCTATTTGAATTTTAAGTTTACTTTGAAGGCATTGGTTGATTAATGTTCAGGTGTTTCCAAGTGGGATTTTTTTTAAAAAAAAGTAAGGTGGTTTATTAAGTGAGAATTGCCTTTGCAGGTAATGAAGACCTACCATATGTACAATGCTGACAGCATCAGTGCCCAAAGCAAGCTGAAAGAGGCAGAGAAGCAAGAAGAAAAACAGATTGGTAAGTCTGTGAAGCAGGAGGAAAAGCAAACTCCACGCTCCCCTGATTCAGCCTCCAGTGTCAAGTTTGAAGAAAAGCATGTCCGACGGAGCTCAGTCAAGAAGATTGAGAAAATGAAAGAGAAGGTGAGTGCACAACAGGGTTAACTGCTAGGTAATTGCAAAGCTCTCTTTACCAAGAGCAACTGCTGAGTGTTTGCTGCGAATCTAATACACAATAGAATATCTATCAGGGCGTTAAGGGAGAAGAGATATTTAATGGGGAAATAGCAGAAATACTGACCTAATGGCTCAGGGATTAACCTGAGGTCTAGAAACTATATTTAGGTATGAGTATTCATGAAATGGAATGAGGAGGTACAGGAATCAAAAGTCCAAGGAGGTCGTTTTGGCACTGATCCATTTCTTCTTATCCCTAGTCAACTATGTAAATGTGTTCAAATTGAAACTAATTTGCATGGTACATAAAGATACTATGTATCAAATAGTTAGCAATTTGATATTTAAATCTTTTAATTTGCAGAGGTAATGTAACATAGTGCCATAAGCAGAGAGACTATTTAAAAAGTTGGGAAAAGCTTAATATTTGCAGAAGACTACCTTGGATGTGTTGTTTTAAGAAGTAATAATCTTAATTGGAAATGCTCATTGTACTGAGATACAGAAATACAAGCACACTTTTCATAGGATCATGCATGAAACAAGTAAAGTAAATAAGCACAGCCAATGGATTTTTTTTCCCTCTTTTGTTCCTCAGTGCAGTATACAGATAGTCCTCGAGTTATGACCATTCATTAAGTGACTGACCATTGGTTTTCAAAGATAGAATGACACTGAACAAAGAAACTTACAACTGGCCCTTAAAGTTCCAGCCTTTGTAGCACCCCTACAGTTACATGAACAACATTCGAACACTTTAAAACCAACTTACACTTACTATATGACCAATTCCAGTGTTCCATGGTCACTTGATTGCCATTTGCAACCTTCCCTGCTGACTTAACAAGAGTAAAGTCAATGGGGAAACGTGCAGGGAAGGTCACAAATTGCTTAGGTAAGTCTCCCCCATCCCTGCCTTTCTTCGCTTGCATGCACTGTGGTGTCCTACCCCCCCTTTTCCTTGTATGCAAACACCACACCCTTCCTCCCTCTTTGCTCATTTGCACACACTACACCTTCTTCCCCCTGCACTCGCATGCACACACCCACCACTATCCTCCTCTCCCCTTCTCTCTCTCTCTCTCTCTCTCTCTCACACACACACACACACACACACACACACACACACACACACACACACACACCAGCGTCTTCCTTTTCCAGACCTGCTCTTGCAAGCATGCCCCCATCAGCATTCACCCGGACTTCCCTACATTTTCAGCCACCAGCATTCTCCTTCTTTGACTCTCTATTCTCACATGTACTCTGTGCCCTCCTTTTCCAGCCTTCCTGCTCTTGTGCCACACTGAAGCACTCCCTTCTTCAATTTGCATGCAGCTTGTATAGGGTGGATCTTCCCTGTCCCTGTGTGGCACTGTTGCTCTCTTTACCTATGGCTCCTGTTATTTCCTGCCTGCTTAATGACCCACACATCTTGAGATTATGACAGCAACTGGGACTGCCTGGATCATCATCACTAAATGATGTGGTCACATGATTTCACACATTACGACCTCATTACTTAACAATAGCAGTCCTGGTCCCAATAACTCAAGGACTACATGTAATTTGTCCTTATAGGAAGATTTACTGTAGGTGACATACTGGGTTATTGCATCACTGGCTATTTGCTATGCAGTGAGTTGTGAATGAGATTCTTGATTCCACAGTCTCAGCTGTGGAATTTCCTTTTGCTTCAGATGCTGTTGACAGCTAACATCGTAAATCTTTGGTGACAGTTTAAGACCTCTTCATCAAATATTTGGGTAGACAGGTGCTGCTGTGCCTTCCCATCTGGTTTAGGATTATACTGCATTGTATTTCGGATTTCAGTTTTTAATAAATAATTAGAGCCATAGAGCTTATTTCTAATTATTCTAATTTATTGTAAAATATTTTTAAATGTTACCCATTTTGGATTTTTTCAAGTAAAGAAATCAATCAATAAATATTGAATTAATTTTAACTTTATGATGGTTTAAATTATTAATGTTCCATATATACAGTATTCACATATTGATTGGGTTAGGTCAGGAAGGCCTGTTTCCTATTCTTCTGGGCAGAGGAATGTAAATATGTGTGTGGGCCTAGGCTTCCAGCTGCCTAGTGCAGACGGTATATTAAATTCTAGTGATACATGATCGGTCTCTATAATTTGGAGGATTTGGGTATCAGACCTTTGTTCACACTTGGCTCTTTAGTGCCTTCTGCTGATGTCAGTCCTGTGTGTCCATATCAGAGCCAAATAAAATTCTGCAGGGATCTTCAGGTTACAAACATACTTCTAGGATTGGATATATTAACTTTATGTGTTCCTGTGAACCACTTTTTGGCCATCTATGGATTAGATCACCTTCCTGTCTCTTCAGGACTCAACAGTTCCTTGAATCGTTGTTATATGATGATGCATTTGTTTTGCCTAAAGGTGTCAAGATTTCTTAGTCTGGGTTAAAAAGAAAGTGAAATGATTTCTTGATTTTGCAGAATATTTTTTCCTTCTTTCAAGGTGATTGCTTTATTCATTTTAATTATTTTATAATAAAAATCCATTTGTATATTTTTCAGCGCCAAGCAAAATACACAGAAAATAAACTGAAGGCTATTAAGGCAAGAAATGAATATCTGTTGGCTCTGGAAGCCACCAATGCATCTGTATTCAAGTATTATATCCATGACCTGTCAGACCTCATTGATGTAAGTGTACTTTGGTGGTGTATTTCCAGAATGTTTCTGCTTTAAGCCTCATTATGTTGTTCTCCTCAGTTAATTTCTTCAGTGGCAGAAGTTCATATGGAGATTTTATCTTTTATCTGTGTTCCATTTAATTATTGAAGGACAACAGCATTTAAACACAGCACTAATTAAATAGCCAAACCAAATTCTGCAATTGTCAGGTATTTCCATTATTTTAACATTATTTTTGGAGTGTGCACTCCTCAACTTTTGTAGAAAGCTTTGGGAACAACCTTAATTTGCATGCATCAATGGGACATACTATAAAATAGCCATGTCTTCATCTCATAGTTTTTTTTATAAATACCTTATGTTTTCTTCTTATTTTTTGTATTGACTTACTGCTTGAATGATTTCCAGGAATTACAACAGAATGCGTAAAATGGTTTGCAATTCATCTTAAATGTCTGAAAGATTTAAACAACCTCATTTATCCAAATTATCTTGAAACCAACCCAATTTGTTGAGATGAATGGTGAATTTTCTTAAGGTTATATAGGAATGCATGAAGTTTACACAAAGAATATATCAACATTTCTCCTTATTCAATGACTCTACAGCTGGTCTTTCTTCTAGGATACACATGCTGGCATATTTAACATGCCTTACTGTGTTTTTCACCATAGCAGCCAATCCTATAAGATTGGGCTGAGAAACAGAAAATATTCCTAAGTGTAACTTGTCTTTTCAGTCCCAATTCAACACATTAAGGAAGGTATGTGAAATAAATGTTCAAACAAGCAAATCATTGGCCTCCTCCTTCAGCACAGTGCCTATAGAAGGCTAGTAGTAGGGACAGACACATCTGTCTTTTCTAGTTTTGTCAGGCTAGCATTTATTGAATTTAAGTCTGGATTGGCTAAATCTATATTGATAATATCCATATGATTCATAAAAATTCAAATGTACTTCATATAATTTGCAAATCTTTATTAACTGGTTTATCCATTTTTGGATGAAGTATTTATGTATTCCAGAATTCTGATCTGTGTTTTATTTTTGCATCAGTCCCGAAAAATATAAATTAGAATGCTTGACTTTAAACCATCTATATGGTAAAAGAAATAAGAAAATAATGCAAGATTAATTATAAAGAACAATCAAAACAGTAAAAGGAGGAGTCTCTTTGTCAGGGAATTGTGCAACCAGTATCCAAATGGACTCAGAGATGCTGACAAGAACTTGTTGTTTTATATAAATAAATATATTTACAGTAAATAAGAGAGGCAAATCAGGAGCATAGTCAGGTAAATCAACACATCAGCAACATCATCAGATAAATCAACAGAGAGCATACAGGACACACAGGGCAAAAAGGCGGGAATCAAGGAGACTTCCCCTTTTTACTCAAAGCAACCAATCACAGCTTAGATTGCCTCATGCAAGGAGCCATCTCACCAAGCAATCAGCTATAACTGTGTGTTCTAACTCTTTACACAACCCTCACTGTTCCGGTTATAAATTTAACTATCTTGGCACTCTTATAGGCAGTAAACTTCATTTACTGAATTTGTGTCTTTAGATTCATCAATGTACTTTTAAACAATAAATGTGCAACCTGTAAAAGTGTGGACAAACGTATTTTTTAAGCTGAATTTTGGAATGTTGGACATTTTCTTATATTACCAGCTTTGTATTTCAAGATTGTTTTAGTGGATGAAGGGTTAATTTGTCATGTTGAGAATTTAATTTGTTTGAATTCTTATTTTTTTAAAAAATCTTTGGAAAAAGCATGCATCAAGTATTTATATAACCAAGAAAGATGAGTGAGACTGATACACTTGTACATGTAATTTAAGGGATATTTTAAAATGCAAAAAAAATAAGGAAGGAGTGCTGAGCTGGAAAACCTAGATGAATTAATTTTCTTCTTCTGATTTCCAATGGGGATTATAAATTATAATTTCATGTTCATGAATGGAAATATAAAAATAGAGTCATCTATTCTGTTCTCATCTACTCCCACACAGATCATTCAATCTGGTTTTATAGAGAGGAATGCAATGGTGGGAAATTATTCTATGAAAGAGAAACCTGCACCTGAGAAAGCTACATTCATAAGGCTCCAACTCTGACAGAGTAAACCATATATTAATACAGATGAATATTAGTCATTTTGAAATTTCTGGTGACTTCCCTCATTGGCAAGATTCTCACGATTTCTCTTCCATGATCTGTGAAAAACACGGAATGTTAATTTGGTTGCAAAGCTGAAACTACTGAATATTTATGAATTAAAATAGCCTTGACATGTGCAGATTCTTAATCAACCATTTTTTTTGTTTTTTTTGTTTAATCCCTATTTAGTTTTTATGCTTCTTGACTAAATTTATTGTTCTTTCATTGCCTGCTTCCAGTAAAACCAACAATTGCTGCTTTACAAGCAGACTCTCCACACCTGCCCCAGACTTTTGGCACTGTACCCAGTCATGTCACAGTGAGCAGGTTATTGCAGGACTCAGTTTAACTACATACATTTATGCTTCTCTCCTGATTTTCTGATTCCTCTCTCTGGCACGTGTTCATTTCATTCATGGCATTTCGGTTCCACCATTTATGTGCAATACTTGTCTAGTAGGGCAGATGTAAGCTTGTGACTTCTGTCAAACAAATGGATACTTGTCCATTCAGAAGTTTTCCTTCCTTCCTTCCTTCCTTCCTTCCTTCCTTCCTTCCTTCCTTCCTTCCTTCCTTCCTTCCTTCCTTCCTTCCTTCCTTCCTTCCCTTCTTTCCTCTCACCAGCTGAAACCATTGTTCCTCTTCTACTGATACATAGTTTTTTTTTTCTCATCAAGTGATGGCAGGAGTTTATTTTTATATGATTTGGCTTTGGCAGAGTTGTTATTATTATGTAGTCTACATCTATTATTATGTATTCTACATATAATAAATGTAGAAAATACTTCAGATTTCTGTTTTGGATGTTGTGGTAAGTATCTGTTTCTTTATCAGCAACTACTTGATTATATATCTTATTTAACAAGTTTATGCTCTTTCCTGTACATGCTCCTATATTGGCATCAGGGCATCCTATAATAGGCATCTTTCTCTGGAAGCAGACAGAAGAATATTTGTGTTTCATCCATAGTGGGAAAAGCATTTTTGAATTGCAGGACTGATTTCTTCGAGAGAGGCTTTGTAGTCTCCTCTTTTGAAGTATCTTAAAGCCTTTTTTTGCAGAAGTGTATTTATTATTTCATAGACCCAGTTAGCCAGCATGAGCAAGGACCACATGCTCATGTGATAAAATAAATTTATTTTGATACCCTGCCCACATCAGTTATTCATATAATACCATACAATACCAGAGGTGAGAGACTGGGAGCGGAAGAGCAGAGAATGGTCCCAGTTCATAAGACTGAATACAGATCTAAGAGGACAAGTTATTATGGGCTGTATCAGTGGATAAATCAGTCTGAAGCAGGAGATTCTGTTATATCAGATTAAACTGTGTTTTATAATTCCACCATCTAAAACAAATTGCTATATAAATCTATGTTTTCAATTTAAGCAATTGATTGACCTAGTCTGGCACAATACAAATTGTTTATGTGATGCATTTTTTTTTTAAAAAAAGGGAAAGTACTTATTACACATGCTTCCTAACTTTCATATCTGATCAGTTATGGAAAGCTTTACAAATTCAAACTGTGTAAATAAGATATTCAACTGTAAGCTGCACTACTTTGCACTGCCAGTGTAACACTTTTTTTCTCACCTTAAATGTGGCTTATAAATACCTGGGAAGATCCTGGAAAAGATAATCAAACAACAAATCAACGAACACCTAGAGGCAAACAAAGTCATTACTAAAAGCCAACATGGGTTTGTCAAAAATAGATCATGCCAGACAAATCTTAATGCATTCTTTGACCAAGTGACAAACTTAGTGGATCAGAAGAATGCTGTGGACATAATTTACTTGGACTTCAGTAAGGCATTTGATAAAGTAGATCACTATCTACTACTTGACAAGATAGAAAAATGTGGTGTAGAAAGCACCACCACCAGATGGATCCGTAGCTGGCTGACCGGCCATACTCAGCGTGTGGTCCTCAATGGAACCGCATCTACATGGAGGGAAGTGTGTAGTGGGAAGCCCCAGGGCTCTGTTCTGGGCCCAGTACTCTTCAATATCTATATCAATGATTTGGACGAGGGGATAGATGGGGAACTCACCAAATTTGCAGACGACATCAAGCTGGCAGGAATAGCCAACACTCCAGAAGACAGGCTTAAGATACAGAAGGATCTTGACAGACTTGAACACTGGGCGCTATCTAACAAAATGAAATTCAATGGTGAAAAAAGTAAGGTTCTACATTTAGGCAAGAAAAACCAAATGCACAGGTATAGTGTAGGGGGTACCTTGCTCAATAGTAGTAACTGTGAGAGGGACCTCGGAGTCCTAGTGGACAATCACCTAAATATGAGCCAGCAGTGTGCTGCAGCTGCCAAAAGTGTCAAGCTATTTTCCAAGGCACGTGAAGGCAGGACAAGAAGCAACGGGTGGAAACAAAGCAAGGAGAGAAGCAACCTAGAACTAAGGAGAAACTTCCTGACAGTTAGAACAATTAACCAATGGAACAACCTGCCTCCAGAAGTGGTGAATGGTCCAGGTTTTTAAGAAGAGACTGGACAGCCATTTGTCCGAAATGGTATAGGGTTTCCTGCCTGAGCAGGGGGTTGGACTAGATGACCTCCAAGGTCCCTTCCAACTTTATTATTATTATTATTATTATTATTATTATTATTATTATTATTATTATTATTATTATTATTATTATTATTTGTGTAAAGTTGAATTTATATAAATCAGGTCTCCTACAACCTGGGAAACCTCTATATTTGTTAAATAAATGTATGTTTTGGTGTAAACACCATTGATTTCCAGAAAACAATAAATCTTTTGAGATGAATATTTGTCTATTGTATTTATCTTTATATTGTATCATTTATAAATTTTCTTTCAACATTTTGAATTTTACGTGGTTTTTACTTTCCTATTTTTTTTCAGCAGTGCTGTGACTTAGGATATCATGCCAGCCTTGGTAGGGCACTTAGAACATTCCTATCAGCAGAGCTGAATCTAGAACAATCAAAGCATGAAGGCCTGGATGCCATTGAGAATGCCGTTGAAAATCTGGATGCCAACAGTGACAAGCAGCGTCTGATGGAAATGTGTAACAGTGTTTTCTGCCCACCCATGAAGTTTGAGTTTCAGCCCCACATGGGTGACATGGTTAGTTTTTTCCTCCATTTTCTGTTTTCATTGCAAACTTCACTCCAGACATAATTAAAAAGTCTGTATAAGAAACAGAAAAAACTATAATCATGATTGGCTAAGGATTCTACAGCAATATGAACAATCCTTAAGTACTGAATGCATGCTATAAGTCCAATTAGCTTAGCTGTGCTCATTGTGATGCAATGCTCTTCCAGTTTCCAAACAAACACCTATTCCATATTCACTGGGGACATTTCTGTATATATACAGGTAGCTCTAGGTTAACAACAGTAATTGGGACCAAAATTTCTGTCACTAAGCGGTGTGGTCATAAAGCACAATGTCACATGACTGCATTGTTTCTGCAGTGGCAAGTCCCCATTGCCACAATTAACTGAATCCCATTGATCATTAGGCAAGGAATGAACCAAGGTCATTCCTGGTTTGGTCCATTCTAGCCACAAACCTCTGTAAGGGAAATGATTCCCTTTTCTTGAACTCTCCCCACACACTTATCTCCCCTCCGTCTTCTGCCCTTTTGGTTTATTCCAGTGTGTGAGCCTAACCATTGTATAAGGTAAACTGTGGTGTATGACTAGTTGTGAACATCCAGGCAATTGTTGTTTATTGAATTTGAATTAAAAATAATTTGTTTCCTGGTTTATTTAGCAATCCTTTGTTCTATGGCCCAGTGTAGATATCTCATACCTGATTATGAGTTTTAACAAAAGTGAAGAACTAGAAGCAAGTGTCTGGAAAGTTAAAAAACAGCCTATTCTTTTCTAGGTATTCCAGCTTTGTGCCCAGCAACCAGTGCAGAGTGAGTTGGTACAAAGATGTCAGCAGCTGCAATCTAGGCTATCCACTCTGAAGATTGAAAATGAAGAGGTAAGAACCCAAACTCCACATCGCTGATAAAAATTTCCCTCTTTTTATTGATACATCTCCATATTCCTCTTTTTCCATGACATTTAGCCTAAAGCCTGACAGCATGTATTTAGTACCCATTCTGGGCTGGACATCAGTGGACCAACATCCACATTGGTGGGCAGGGTAAGATCTCTATCAATCTTCCAGTGTTAGAGAAGACTATATGAAGTTAGAGAAGATGTAGTTTAGCTATGAGGTCCTTGCCCACCTAAACATCTAAAACAGGTATGTCCAACCTGTGGCCAACAGGCCACGTGTGGCCCTGGATAGCTAATCACGCAGTCCCACAAGATCTCAAAATTATAATATTATTATGTGATTTATATACATTAACTATATTAAATATTTTATACACAGCCCAAGAAATTTCCTCTTCAATCATTACAGCTCAGGCAAGCCAAAAGGTTGGACACCCAGGACCTAGAACATCTAAATTGGCTAAATCACATATAAAAAATGCTTTAATACCACCTTTTTCAAAACAAGCAACAGCAGCTAGCAGTCAAAGGACATCATGAAAAGTCCTTAATTATACAATACATGGATAGACACAGCCATAGTTTCAGATGTGAAACTGTGAGCATCCTAGACCTAGAAGTTAAGTCCAAATACACTAGAAGCCTGGTACTCAGACAAATCAACCATCAACAGGCACATAGAGACAAACAACATCAACATACATTCAAAAGAGAAAATCAGAAAGCTGAAAGATCACAACATCTACTTACCCACAATCAATACCCAGATAAGCAGACATTAATATCAATATTAATACTAAACCAACAACTAAACAACCTGTGTAATTCAATCTTTCTTGTCTTCTGTGGGCGGCAAAGTCAGGCACAAGTGACTGGAAGCAGGAGATTGCCAGTGCTTCTTTGGGGTTAGGCACATGTCACCTGCCCTAAAGATGGTGTATTGAAATCCCTCTCAAAAAGGAGTTGCTCTAGATCTAGAAATCATGTCCTAGAAATAGGACATGATCCCTCTCATGGTATATCAGATACATAATTAGATTTGTTCTTTCTCAGCATCTCTACAAAAGGTCTTTATGTTGAAACAGTATCTAATATAGGATTAGTTATGCTTCAGCCTCACTTTTTGTTTTTTATTTTTCCTTCTTCATTTTCTATGCCAGGTTAAAAAAACAATGGAAGCCACACTACAGACTATTCAAGATATTGTCACTATTGAAGATTTTGATGTATCCGATTGCTTCCAGTATAGCAATTCTATGGAGTCTGTAAAATCCACAGTTTCTGAAACCTTCATGAGTAAGCCAAGCATTGCCAAGAGACGGGCCAATCAACAGGAGACTGAACAGTTCTACTTCACAGTAAGAGCCCTGAATTTTCATCATCTTTCATGTGTTAAAACAGTAATATTTTAGAGATGGAATATATTCAAAGTTCAGTCAAATGAATTTGGCTGGTGAGAAAAAAAAATCTAAAGCTGGTAATACTGAATTTTCCAATTTTGCTGAAATCAATATTTTTAAATATATTCAAAGATTATTTTGATACATATTTTCTTAAAACTTTACTAAAAACTGGTAAAATTCCATGCCTAATTTAGATAGTACAACAGAGCAAATGAAAGCAATCATCAGCAGGCTTCTAGAAAAAAAAATGCACATGCAGTTGAGTATAATGGAAACATTTCTTCTTAATTCTGTACTTAAAGTTCTGAATGACTGGATGTTTACTAAAGAAAATGTGTGTCTATCGTATTCCACTGGAATTGTCTACATTCAAAGACAGGGTAGAGTTCCACAAGGAACTCAGGACCTGCAGGGGAGGCTGTGCTGGGCCCATCTTCTAAGACAACTTGGATTGAGGCAGCCAGATATTAATTAAATCCAGTGCTTTTTTTGTTTAAAAAAAAAAGGTGCAGGAACTCACACACATCATACAATTTGCCTTGCCTACCCGACAAGGTTCCATCCAAAAAAGGTGCCGGAACTCCGTTCTGAGCGTTCTGTGAGAAAAAAAGCCCTGACTAAATCCCTGAGAATGCTCACGTCTCAAGATTCAGAGAGAAGCAGAAGTGCTCTGTCCCTAGGAAAGGATCCTTGGAAATAATTGATCAATTTACAGCCAACTTTTAAGCAGCAGCTGATGTTAGGTTGAAACTCTGGAGGTAACATTAGGAAAACCTTCATTTGAGAACAGAGTGTGATTAGAATACTGTCAGTATCAATCTTGTCATTCTGCTTATTCATTCCGGATACACAGCTTCTAATCCTTGATGTGTTTCATTTCTTGTATACATTTCAACCAGTCAGCAAGACAGAAACTGACACTCCCTCAGTTGTTGCCTCTGTGATGTGGCCTGTGGCCTATTATTTGGACTTGCTTCATCTCCCTTCTTAATTTTCCCCCAAACAGCCAACTGGTGGAATGTGGCCCCATGTGAATTGGCACATATGTAAAGAAGCTTTGCTTCATTGCTTTGTGGCTGCATGTTTTAAATTGCTATGGTCCTCTTATAGGGATCATGGGACTTTTAAAAAGTGCTGCCTACTCTGCAAATTACTTAAGCAGATAAAGTGGTTTATCCTGGATTTGGTTTAGTAATAGATTTATTGGAGAGTATATCATTCTTTTAGATAAGAAATAAAAATACTTCAAAAGCCTTATTAAATTAGAAGGTTTGAATGGAAGATGAATGTAACCCCCCCCCCAAAAAAAAAGGATTGATTCATTTAACAAGCAGTTGAGGTCTCCTGAGTGTCAATGGTTATTAAATGAGCTTCCATGTTGTTGTTTTTAGGAAAAACTCAACCCTTTTCAAATAAATATGAATTTATCAGTGCATTTTTTTCTTCACATTGTATAACTATTTTTGCTCTCAACCAATGGCAGTGACATTAACCTTCTGCCTCTAGGAAATGGATATGCCATTAGTCATGTCATATTCATATATCCAGGATAAATAAACTTCCATATGATCTTCCAGCTTACAGGTACCCTTAATATGAATTTCAGGCTTTAGTTAAAAGTATCATATGATTTATGCAGCCTGAAAATAGTTGTGACTGAGCATTAATGGTGTGAGAAAATAAATGCAAGGAAACTAGAACATGAACTATTACATTACTGTGCATTTTAATATGATACACTTTTGTGAGCAAGGTAAAAGACAGTCTACCTAGGTTTGCAGTGTTCCTAGGTGGATTTTATGTTAGGTCTGAAGAAGAAAGGTATTACATTATACAAGCCTGTTCTGTCAGCTCACCGGATTAGCTGATCTGGCCCATTATCAATTTTTCTATGCTTTGGGGAATCTGTCAGAATTAGAGGGCGTAGAATGCTTTTAGTATTTCAAAATGTCCTTTGAAGCTCAGAATCATCTTTATTGAATGACAGACCATGAGCAAACAGGACCCCTTGGGGCAATAGATCTATTAGGATGATTCACCCCAGAGCTTAATGGATCCTGAGGTTTTCTAGAGGGCACTTTGGGTATTGCCCAATGACTGTGGAGGCAACCAGTGATCTTTTTCTTACAGGCTACTTTCTACTCAAGAATACCAACTGGGTCATTAGTCCTCCAAGGAAATGCAACAAATGAAGTAAAATTATAGCGAGATAGGTGGTAAACAAATTTAATAATTTTTATATTAATAAATAAAATACAATATTGAAAACTATAAACAAACACAACCAAGCACTGATACATGCTTGAGTTTCAGCTTACATAATGGCAATAAAATATCAACACCTGTATATTCTATGCTATTTTGGTTTCCTGCTGGTTCCTGATATTTTAGGACAGAGGTGAAGACAAGACACCTGCAGAGCAGTTGTGACGCTTTTTCATGTTTCTTCACACATAGTCACTAATATTTGTTCAGAATTAGATGTTATTTGATAGAGCATGCCAAGTAACAAGAGCAACATCTTCTAATATCAGCTAATATTCTTTTGAGCTCATGGAATCTGAAGAAATTAATAAAACCCTGTATAGTATAAACTTTGCAAGAGGCACAGTGGCTCAGCAGCTTAGAAATGCTGGATGTGTTGGTCAGAGAAGATTGGCTGTCTGCATTCCAGCAGTTCAAGCCCTAGCATTGCGTGATAGAGTGAGCTCCCTCACTCGCTTCAGCTTCTGCCAACCAAACAGTGCCAGACCAACCTGAATGCGATGCAAAAAATGATGGAGAAAAATCCCTAGATGACTCCAACACTTCCACAGAACATCATTAACTGCTTTGTGTGCAGAGCTGGTTTACCCATTGTGGTGCACCCTGGATAGTGCATGAGCATGAGCTGAATGAACTAGCAATCTTAGCCAGCCAAACATCTACAGTGTAATAACATTATAGATACCTAGCTTTCATGATGAATAGGCTAAATAAATGTATAAACTCTGGTCTGGAGCCATGTTCAGCCTAGCACTTTTTAAGTGGCTGAAGGGTACCTAGTTGGATTTGAGAAGTGACTGATTACTGTCTGAGAGAGTGGAATGCCATAATTCTTGAAAGAGGTCCTGATATGCCCTCTGTTTAGCTGTCTCTGGGGCTTCCACCTAATATTCAGTTGCTCCTTTTTGGGAAGATTTGTTGAGGAATTTATGAGGAATTATATGTAGAGGAATACAGAAAGAATAAAAGTACCTGAGTCCTCTGAAACAGGATTGGTCACACTGGTGGCTGAACTTCAGCAGGTTCTGGATTGGGAAAATATGTCTCTCCTATTCCTGTTAAACTCTCAGTAGCACTTAACACAATCATGATATTCTTTTGAATAACCCATCTGGGATTAGAAGCAGATTTTATGGTGGGCCCACTTTTATCCGAGTTCCAGTCTGTAGTCATGGAGGAAATACTTCATCGTGGAGAACTACAGGGCTCAATTCTCTTTCTGGTGTTATTTAATATCTACAGTATATAAACTAAGCCTCAAAGAAAGGTAAGCTGTTGTTTTGGGATAAAGTATCATCACTCAGCTATATATCATAACCCCCAGCCAGACCAGAAATGCTGTGAGGTTTTGAATTGGTGTCAGGAGTTCACAAGGAACAAAGAAAACTGAGACTAAATTCCTGCACTGTGGAGCTGCTATTCAGTTTTCTAATGTGTATAATACAAGTTTGTATCTGTGAGTGTCCGTCATTGATAACCAAACGGAGGTTTATTTCCGAATTGCCCTTGTATCTTCACCCCTTGAAACATTGTTTTCAGTTGACATTCTGGATAGGCTCACTCTGCAACAAACTATATGGGGATGCCTTTGAAGATGCCTTGAAGGCTATGATTGGTGCAGAGTATGGCAGCTAAGATGGTTATCGTATTAATTTTGATAATGTATTGTGCATATTGCCTAGAATTATTAAATTGAGGCATTATAAGCAAGTTTAATAAATAAACCAAAGTATAGCATCTGCCATCTTGGAAATACATATCTTCTTAATTTGGTTTGCATTAATGTTTCTAGTAATGAGTCTATATTGTGAATTCCAAGTTTAAGATATAATCCAAAACAGATGTACTTGTGACTTAGGTTTCTTTTTGAAGCCGGCAGGGTTTATTTCTAGATGTATGAGATTGGGATCTGTTTTAACATGCAGCTGCAGCAATATTTTCCAGTGTGTGACTTAGATCTCCTCATGCAGTCAGCATCATATGTTAAATATGGATTATGAGGGAGATAGTTACAGTTATGGATATTGTTGGATTTTAAGAGACCTTTTAAAAACTATTTTAATCATCTGAACTCTATAATGTTCAGATGTATTAACAGAAGTAAGCTTGCCAATTGAAGTAGCATAAAATATATATTTACAAATGAATCTGAAATGACGGTTCTTTGAAACTGCATAATGTAAGCAACCTCAGCTTTTAAGTATAAGGGACAAAGAAGAGTATTTCTTTCTTTATACTTTAATAGTAGCTATTCAAGATGGCACCAAAAACCCATATTTGTTTAAAAAGTCATATTGGAGGATCTCTTGAGAAAAAGAGAACCTGATATTTATTTAATAGGTTTCCAAAGAAGAAAAAAAATTTATTTTATTACGACAAGATGGAGGGTGTGACTTAAATTTAATAAACTAATTGGAGTTAGGATGGATTTTCTATTGATT